AGGTTGTAGGGGGACAGGTTGTAGGAAGACAGGTTGTAGGGGGACAGGTTGTAGGAAGACAGGTTGTAGGGGGACAGGTTGTTGCCATAGTGACAGTATTGGGCAGCGCCACTCATCCTGTGAGTGGACACACCGCCATAGTGACAGTATTGGGCAGCGCCACTCATCCTGTGAGTGGACACACCGCCATAGTGACAGTATTGGGCAGCGCCACTCATCCTGTGAGTGGACACACCGCCATAGTGACAGTATTGGGCAGCGTCACTCATCCTGTGAGTGGACACACCGCCATAGTGACAGTATTGGGCAGCGTCACTCATCCTGTGAGTGGACACACCGCCATAGTGACAGTATTGGGCAGCGTCACTCATCCTGTGAGTGGACACACCGCCATAGTGACAGTATTGGGCAGCGCCACTCATCCTGTGTGTGGACACACCGCCATAGTGACAGTATTGGGCAGCGCCACTCATCCTGTGAGTGGACACACCGCCATAGTGACAGTATTGGGCAGCGTCACTCATCCTGTGAGTGGACACACCGCCATAGTGACAGTATTGGGCAGCGTCACTCATCCTGTGAGTGGACACACCGCCATAGTGACAGTATTGGGCAGCGTCACTCATCCTGTGAGTGGACACACCGCCATAGTGACAGTATTGGGCAGCGCCACTCATCCTGTGAGTGGACACACCGCCATAGTGACAGTATTGGGCAGCGTCACTCATCCTGTGAGTGGACACACCGCCATAGTGACAGTATTGGGCAGCGCCACTCATCCTGTGAGTGGACACACCGCCATAGTGACAGTATTGGGCAGCGCCACTCATCCTGTGAGTGGACACACCGCCATAGTGACAGTATTGGGCAGCGCCACTCATCCTGTGAGTGGACACACCGCCATAGTGACAGTATTGGGCAGCGTCACTCATCCTGTGAGTGGACACACCGCCATAGTGACAGTATTGGGCAGCGTCACTCATCCTGTGAGTGGACACACCGCCATAGTGACAGTATTGGGCAGCGCCACTCATCCTGTGAGTGGACACACCGCCATAGTGACAGTATTGGGCAGCGCCACTCATCCTGTGAGTGGACACACCGCCATAGTGACAGTATTGGGCAGCGCCACTCATCCTGTGAGTGGACACACCGCCATAGTGACAGTATTGGGCAGCGCCACTCATCCTGTGAGTGGACACACCGCCATAGTGACAGTATTGGGCAGCGTCACTCATCCTGTGAGTGGACACACCGCCATAGTGACAGTATTGGGCAGCGCCACTCATCCTGTGAGTGGACACACCGCCATAGTGACAGTATTGGGCAGCGCCACTCATCCTGTGAGTGGACACACCGCCATAGTGACAGTATTGGGCAGCGCCACTCATCCTGTGAGTGGACACACCGCCATAGTGACAGTATTGGGCAGCGCCACTCATCCTGTGAGTGGACACACCGCCATAGTGACAGTATTGGGCAGCGCCACTCATCCTGTGAGTGGACACACCGCCATAGTGACAGTATTGGGCAGCGTCACTCATCCTGTGAGTGGACACACCGCCATAGTGACAGTATTGGGCAGCGTCACTCATCCTGTGAGTGGACACACCGCCATAGTGACAGTATTGGGCAGCGCCACTCATCCTGTGAGTGGACACACCGCCATAGTGACAGTATTGGGCAGCGCCACTCATCCTGTGAGTGGACACACCGCCATAGTGACAGTATTGGGCAGCGCCACTCATCCTGTGAGTGGACACACCGCCATAGTGACAGTATTGGGCAGCGTCACTCATCCTGTGAGTGGACACACCGCCATAGTGACAGTATTGGGCAGCGCCACTCATCCTGTGAGTGGACACACCGCCATAGTGACAGTATTGGGCAGCGCCACTCATCCTGTGAGTGGACACACCGCCATAGTGACAGTATTGGGCAGCGCCACTCATCCTGTGAGTGGACACACCGCCATAGTGACAGTATTGGGCAGCGTCACTCATCCTGTGAGTGGACACACCGCCATAGTGACAGTATTGGGCAGCGCCACTCATCCTGTGAGTGGACACGCCGCCATAGTGACAGTATTGGGCAGCGCCACTCATCCTGTGAGTGGACACGCCGCCATAGTGACAGTATTGGGCAGCGCCACTCATCCTGTGAGTGGACACACCGCCATAGTGACAGTATTGGGCAGCGCCACTCATCCTGTGAGTGGACACACCGCCATAGTGACAGTATTGGGCAGCGTCACTCATCCTGTGAGTGGACACACCGCCATAGTGACAGTATTGGGCAGCGCCACTCATCCTGTGAGTGGACACACCGCCATAGTGACAGTATTGGGCAGCGCCACTCATCCTGTGAGTGGACACACCGCCATAGTGACAGTATTGGGCAGCGCCACTCATCCTGTGAGTGGACACACCGCCATAGTGACAGTATTGGGCAGCGCCACTCATCCTGTGAGTGGACACACCGCCATAGTGACAGTATTGGGCAGCGCCACTCATCCTGTGAGTGGACACACCGCCATAGTGACAGTATTGGGCAGCGCCACTCATCCTGTGAGTGGACACACCGCCATAGTGACAGTATTGGGCAGCGTCACTCATCCTGTGAGTGGACACACCGCCATAGTGACAGTATTGGGCAGCGCCACTCATCCTGTGAGTGGACACACCGCCATAGTGACAGTATTGGGCAGCGCCACTCATCCTGTGAGTGGACACACCGCCATAGTGACAGTATTGGGCAGCGCCACTCATCCTGTGAGTGGACACACCGCCATAGCAGCATGTACAACACTCCCCAATAGGAAGAAAACCCGCTGGGTTGTTCATCCTGTCACTTGTACCCAGACACAGCTGGGACTTGCTTAACTGTCTCAAGTGAACACCAGCACGAGAGGCGTAGGGCGCAGCCTGGGAGACACACGGCCAGTGACCCTAACGGACGGGCGGCGTAAGGTCGCAAGTCCCTGAATCAACGTGGCCCGTGGCGTTTGTTTACGTTGGTGACGTCACCGGTGTTGCCCACATGTAATAATGTCGGCTGTTTTTATTGGCGTTATTAATCGTGTTGAAGCGGAACCCGTTTGGCTCCTTGTCTTCTTTATTCTTTAATATACTGACTCAAGAGGAACATACGAATTTGTATTAATAGTGAGCGGCTGTGTATTGTGTGTCAGGCAGACTTGAATGACACCAGATCTGACAACGTCGGTTAGGTGATGATGGTGGTGATGGTGTTGATGGTCATGGTGGTGATGATTGTGATGCTGGTGGTGATGATTGTGATGCTGATGGTGATAATTTTTATTATTTTCTACCACAGACGTGGCCAGACATTTACAATGCTAACCAGCATATATACATTTTCTTCTGTCCTCCATGGACAGGGTTAGAGAAGTGTTAAACATATAGTTCAAGGGTTTATTGAACTCTCAACCACAGAAGGTGATTGTAGTGCTTCTAAAATACTAATCTAACATACAGACATACACACAGATTTACGTTTGTCCAACATAAACAGTGTTCCATGTGTCTTTTACAGTGTCATTAATGTGCGTTTACAAAGGTGAAATGCACTTCTGACCAGCTTCCATATATTCTGTATATACATAGCTATATTACATTGTATAGATTCATTACGTTGTATAACAGATGTATTACATATTGTATAGGTACAATACATTGTATAAGAGATGTAGTAAATCTTGGGTGCAAGTCCAATATATCATCAAGTGTTCCAGTACTCATGTAGTAACTACAGAGTTCAGCATACCTTAGCCCAGGAGGGCGAAAGTCAGTCAGTATGGGACATTCTACAATATCATGTTCAAGTACCACAATCACCACCAGTACCACAATTACCACCATAACTACCACAATTACCTCCATAACTACCACAATAACCTCCATAACTACCACAATTACCACCATAACTACCACAATTACCTCCATAACTACCACAATTACCTCCATAACTACCACAATTACCTCCATAACTACCACAATTACCACCATAACTACCACAATTACCTCCATAACTACCACAATAACCTCCATAACTACCACAATTACCACCATAACTACCACAATAACTACCACAATTACCACCATAACTACCACAATAACTACCACAATTACTTCCATAACTACCACAATAACCTCCATAACTACCACAATTACCACCATAACTACCACAATTACCTCCATAACTACCACAATTACCACCATAACTACCACAATTACCTCCATAACTACCACAATAACCTCCATAACTACCACAATTACCACCATAACTACCACAATTACTTCCATAACTACCACAATTACCACCATAACTACCACAATTACCACCATAGCTACCACAATTACTTCCATAACTACCACAATTACCTCCATAACTACCACAATTACCTCCATAACTACCACAATTACCTCCATAACTACCACAATTACCTCCATAACTACCACAATTACCTCCATAACTACCACAATTACCGCCATAACTACCACAATTACGACCATAACTACCACAATTACCACCACCAGGTGGTAGAGCGCCTGTGAGAGCGCCGCGGGGCTCACTACTCACCCACCTAAGGATCGCTGGATGTATGGATTCACCTCCCAGCATCCATCTGGAGAGTGGTCACGTGTGAGGGGGGGGGGTGAGGGGATGGTTGGGGGGAGGGGGTTGATAGGGGGGAGGGGGGAGGGGATGTGGGAGAGGGGGGGGCGGGAATGGTCCGGAGAAGCCACTTTTATGTCGATAAACTGACTTCTTCCATTGGTGGTGGTGTGTAGGCGCCCAGCTGTGGTGGTGAGGGATGGTGAGGGATGGTGGTGGTAAGGGATGGTGAGGGATGGTGGTGGTGAGGGATGGTGGTGGGGGTGGTGGTAGCCAGTACACACAGTAACACCATACACAATAACACACACGTGAACACAATAACTACACACACGGCGCATGTGTTGACAAGCAAGCTCAAAATGGATCACAACGAACAACATCTCAAGCCACCTATATGTGCCACAGAGTAAACTTGACCTTGACACACTGCCTGAAGTTGTTAATGAAGAACCTACCTTGCTGGTTGGTGACCTGAATGCCAGACACCCACACTTTGGTGCCAACTGTCATCAGCCCAATGTCAATGGACGGAAACTGTCACTCTTTGTCAGGGGAAGTGAACACCTTAGAGTCCTGGGTGATGAACAGCCAACTCACCTCAGAGGAGGAAGATTAGACTATGCTCTCCTGCTGAATGCACAGGACACGGATGCCAGTACACACATTGTGCACAGTTTATGTAGTGACCATTGGGCACTGATTACCACCGTCGACATGAGCAAGAGAAGGGAAGAGACGAATAAAAGAAAAAGGTTATCACTCGGACCAGATATGAGGCCGCACTTCATAAACAGGATGAGTGACTGGTTCACGGAATACCAAATCCCAGAAGACATTGACACATTTGTTGATGACCTTAACCACCACATTGAGAGCTGTCTAAGAGTTCCGCGCCGTACGCCTGGGCGAAGTAACCCTCAGAGGAAGAAAATAAAATGGTATGAGAATGATTACATAAAGATGCTTAACGCAAATGTGCGAGACATGAGTAGAGAGTACCGGAGACATCCCACTGAAAGTAACCAAGAGTTTTTAAAACTGTGTGTCAAGTAGCCAGGGAAGAGAAGATTAAAGAGCGGGAAAGACAATGGCTTGAGTTCACTAGCTCTATTGGACGGGAAACATCTGAAAGACAAGTGTGGGCAAAAATTCAGATAGCTAAGGGGGGCAGAGCCCGGCCTGCGGCTCACAAAGACCCCCAGGGTAAGGCTGAGGAACTAATTCACAAGTGGAGTGATGCAGCATCCTCCTCCTCCCTCCCTGCAGAAATCAGCAGGTACCAGCTCCTGCGACATGATGACAGAAGAATTAGGATAACAAGAGCACTGTCTAGTGATGACGAGTATGGGGAACCAATCACAGCCCAAGAAGTAAGGGGCGCTATGAAAAAGGGTAAAAGTACAGCACCTAGTGAAGATGGCGTTACCTACGACATACTTAATGCACTGTGTGAAGTGTCTGGGAATCCACTACTCCACCTGTTTAACAAGTCATTCCTAAGTGGAGTGTTGCCCACACAATGGAAACACGCAATAATTGTTCCCATACCGAAGCCCAACGACCCTGGTAATTACAGACCTATCAGCCTCGTGTCATGCACTTGCAAGATGCTTGAAAGGATCATCCTAAACCGACTGTTGCACAAAATAGGCAGGTTAGGGGAGGGGGTCAATGGATTTGTTAAAGGACGGAGCACAGCAAATTGTATAGTTAATTACTTGGCTAATGACACGGCTAGGTACTCTGTATTTGTTGACGTCAAAGGAGCCTTCGACAAAGCACAGGGGATTGCGATCCTGGACGAGCTTGCATGCATGGGTGTCAAGGGGAGACTCATGAAATGGGTTGAAGACTACCTCATAGGAAGGAAAGCCAAGGTTTGCTTCAATGGAGCAGTCTCCAGAACAATGAATATGGAACTCGGGACCCCCCAAGGTGGAGTCTTAAGCCCTACACTATTCAATGTACTTATGAACGCCATTGCAAATATTGATTTTCCGGAAGGAACACAACAAGTGGGATATGCAGATGATGTTCTAATACAAGCTCCCACCTTGGGAAAAATTGAACAGTCCATTGAACTCCTTGGAAGGAAATGTATTGAGCTCGGTTTCACTCTCTCCACAAACAAGACGAAGGCATACTCCCATCACAAGCGGAGAGCAAATTAATGGTGTAACACTTGAATGGGTTGACCACTATCGGTACCTTGGCGTCACTGTCGGCTCTAACAAGGGGAAGAAAGAGGAGCTTAATCAACTCATAGGAACATGCAAAAGTCGACTCAGGGCACTGAAAGCTATGACCTGGAATGGACATAGAGCCTCTATTGCCGTGCTTAAAATGATGTACACAGCCTATGTGCGCTCCGTCATAGACTATGCCGCACCGGTTCTGTGCACCTACTCCCAAAGCGATATGAAAAGGCTTGAAAGCATTCAAAATGAAGCCATGACAATCGGGACAAAAAGGGTGGGGCAACAGGTAGTACACACAAGGGGTGAGGGCGGGGCAACAGGTAGTACACACAAGGGGTGAGGGCGGGGCAACAGGTAGTACACACAAGGGGTGAGGGCGGGGCAACAGGTAGTACACACAAGGGGTGAGGGTGGGGCAACAGGTAGTACACACAAGGGGTGAGGGTGGGGCAACAGGTAGTACAGTACAAGGGGTGAGGGTGGGGCAACAGGTAGTACAGTACAAGGAGTGAGGGTGGGGCAACAGGTAGTACACACAAGGGGTGAGGGCGGGGCAACAGGTAGTACACACAAGGGGTGAGGGCGGGACAACAGGTAGTACAGTACAAGGAGTGAGGGTGGGGCAACAGGTAGTACACACAAGGGGTGAGGGCGGGGCAACAGGTAGTACAGTACAAGGGGTGAGGGTGGGGCAACAGGTAGTACACACAAGGGGTGAGGGCGGGGCAACAGGTAGTACAGTACAAGGGGTGAGGGTGGGGCAACAGGTAGTACACACAAGGGGTGAGGGCGGGGCAACAGGTAGTACACACAAGGGGTGAGGGCGGGGCAACAGGTAGTACACACAACGGGTGAGGGCGGGGCAACAGGTAGTACACACAAGGGGTGAGGGTGGGGCAACAGGTAGTACAGTACAAGGGGTGAGGGTGGGGCAACAGGTAGTACACACAAGGGGTGAGGGCGGGGCAACAGGTAGTACACACAAGGGGTGAGGGCGGGACAACAGGTAGTACACACAAGGGGTGAGGGTGGGGCAACAGGTAGTACAGTACAAGGGGTGAGGGTGGGGCAACAGGTAGAACAGTACAAGGGGTGAGGGTGGGGCAACAGGTAGTACAGTACAAGGGGTGAAGGCGGGGCAACAGGTAGTACAGTACAAGGGGTGAGGGCGGGGCAACAGGAAGTACACACAAGGGGTGAGGGCGGGGCAACAGGTAGTACACACAAGGGGTGAGGGCGGGGCAACAGGAAGTACACACAAGGGGTGAGGGCGGGGCAACAGGTAGTACACACAAGGGGTGAGGGCGGGGCAACAGGTAGTACACACAAGGGGTGAGGGCGGGGCAACAGGTAGTACACACAAGGGGTGAGGGCGGGGCAACAGATAGTACACACAAGGGGTGAGGGCGGGGCAACAGGAAGTACACACAAGGGGTGAGGGTGGGGCAACAGGTAGTACACACAAGGGGTGAGGGCGGGGCAACAGGTAGTACACACAAGGGGTGAGGGTGGGGCAACAGGTAGTACACACAAGGGGTGAGGGAGGGGCAACAGGTAGTAAAGTACAAGGGGTGAGGGTGGGGCAACAGGTAGTACACACAAGGGGTGAGGGCGGGGCAACAGGTAGTACAGTACAAGGGGTGAGGGTGGGGCAACAGGTAGTACACACAAGGGGTGAGGGCGGGGCAACAGGTAGTACACACAAGGGGTGAGGGCGGGGCAACAGGTAGTACAGACAACGGGTGAGGGCGGGGCAACAGGTAGTACACACAAGGGGTGAGGGTGGGGCAACAGGTAGTACAGTACAAGGGGTGAGGGTGGGGCAACAGGTAGTACACACAAGGGGTGAGGGCGGGGCAACAGGTAGTACACACAAGGGGTGAGGGCGGGACAACAGGTAGTACACACAAGGGGTGAGGGTGGGGCAACAGGTAGTACAGTACAAGGGGTGAGGGTGGGGCAACAGGTAGTACAGTACAAGGGGTGAGGGTGGGGCAACAGGTAGTACAGTACAAGGGGTGAAGGCGGGGCAACAGGTAGTACAGTACAAGGGGTGAGGGCGGGGCAACAGGAAGTACACACAAGGGGTGAGGGCGGGGCAACAGGTAGTACACACAAGGGGTGAGGGCGGGGCAACAGGAAGTACACACAAGGGGTGAGGGCGGGGCAACAGGTAGTACACACAAGGGGTGAGGGCGGGGCAACAGGAAGTACACACAAGGGGTGAGGGCGGGGCAACAGGTAGTACACACAAGGGGTGAGGGCGGGGCAACAGGTAGTACACACAAGGGGTGAGGGCGGGGCAACAGATAGTACACACAAGGGGTGAGGGCGGGGCAACAGGAAGTACACACAAGGGGTGAGGGTGGGGCAACAGGTAGTACACACAAGGGGTGAGGGCGGGGCAACAGGTAGTACACACAATGGGTGAGGGTGGGGCAACAGGTAGTACACACAAGGGGTGAGGGTGGGGCAACAGGTAGTACAGTACAAGGGGTGAGGGTGGGGCAACAGGTAGTACACACAAGGGGTGAGGGCGGGGCAACAGGTAGTACACACAAGGGGTGAGGGTGGAGCAACAGGTAGTACACACAAGGGGTGAGCAACAGGTGGGGCAACAGGTAGTACAGTACAAGGGGTGAGGGTGGGGCAACAGGTAGTACACACAAGGGGTGAGGGTGGGGCAACAGGTAGTACACACAAGGGGTGAGGGTGGGGCAACAGGTAGTACAGTACAAGGGGTGAGGGTGGGGCAACAGGTAGTACACACAAGGGGTGAGGGTGGGGCAACAGGTAGTACACACAAGGGGTGAGGGTGGGGCAACAGGTAGTACACACAAGGGGTGAGGGTGGGGCAACAGGCAGTACACACAAGGGGTGAAGGTGGGGCAACAGGTAGTACACACAAGGGGTGAGGGTGGGGCAACAGGTAGTACACACAAGGGGTGAAGGTGGGGCAACAGGCAGTACACACAAGGGGTGAGGGTGGGGCAACAGGTAGTACACACAAGGGGTGAGGGTGGGGCAACAGGTAGTACACACAAGGGGTGAGGGTGGGGCAACAGGTAGTACAGTACAAGGGGTGAGGGTGGGGCAACAGGTAGTACACACAAGGGGTGAGGGTGGGGCAACAGGTAGTACACACAAGGGGTGAGGGTGGGGCAACAGGCAGTACACACAAGGGGTGAAGGTGGGGCAACAGGTAGTACACACAAGGGGTGAGGGTGGGGCAACAGGTAGTACACACAAGGGGTGAAGGTGGGGCAACAGGCAGTACACACAAGGGGTGAGGGTGGGGCAACAGGTAGTACACACAAGGGGTGAGGGTGGGGCAACAGGTAGTACACACAAGGGGTGAGGGTGGGGCAACAGGTAGTACACACAAGGGGTGAGGGTGGGGCAACAGGTAGTACACACAAGGGGTGAGGGTGGGGCAACAGGTAGTACACACAAGGGGTGAGGGTGGGGCAACAGGTAGTACACACAAGGGGTGAGGGCGTGGCAACAGGTAGTACACACAAGGGGTGAGGGTGGGGCAACAGGTAGTACACACAAGGGGTGAGGGCGTGGCAACAGGTAGTACACACAAGGGGTGAGGGCGTGGCAACAGGTAGTACACACAAGGGGTGAGGGTGGGGCAACAGGTAGTACACACAAGGGGTGAGGGTGGGGCAACAGGTAGTACACACAAGGGGTGAGGGCGGGGCAACAGGTAGTACACACAAGGGGTGAGGGCGTGGCAACAGGTAGTACACACAAGGGGTGAGGGTGGGGCAACAGGTAGTACACACAAGGGGTGAGGGCGTGATCGTGTTAGGGTTGTCATTGTCAATTACCTTTCTCGAATCACCCCTAATATGATCACGTGATACTTAATGCTGACCAGTAAGGGGGGGGATAGTTCAGCCCAAGCCTAGCCCTCTGACTTGTCCACGAGGCTAATCCACCAGTGTCTATCCCAGAGAGGAACTAATCCACCAGTGTCTATCCCAGAGAGGAACTAATCCACCAGTGTCTAACCCAGAGAGGAACTAATCCAACAGTGTCTATCCCAGAGAGGAACTAATCCACCAGTGACTAACCCAGAGAGGAACTAATCCACCAGTGACTAACCCAGAGAGGAACTAATCCACCAGTGTCTAACCCAGAGAGGAACTAATCCACCAGTGACTAACCCAGAGAGGAACTAATCCACCAGTGTCTAACCCAGAGAGGAACTAATCCACCAGTGACTAACCCAGAGAGTAAGTAATCCACCAGTGTCTAACCCAGAGAGGAACTAATCCACCAGTGTCTATCCCAGAGAGGAACTAATCCACCAGTGTCTAACCCAGAGAGGAACTAATCCACCAGTGACTAACCCAGAGAGGAACTAATCCACCAGTGTCTAACCCAGAGAGGAACTAATCCACCAGTGACTAACCCAGAGAGGAACTAATCCACCAGTGTCTAACCCAGAGAGGAACTAATCCACCAGTGTCTAACCCAGAGAGGAACTAATCCACCAGTGTCTAACCCAGAGAGGAACTAATCCACCAGTGACTAACCCAGAGAGGAACTAATCCACCAGTGACTAACCCAGAGAGGAACTAAGCCACCAGTGACTAACCCAGAGAGGAACTAATCCACCAGTGACTAACCCAGAGAGGAACTAATCCACCAGCGTCTAACCCAGAGAGGAACTAATCCACCAGTGTCTAACCCAGAGAGGAACTAATCCACCAGTGACTAACCCAGAGAGGAACTAATCCACCAGTGTCTAACCCAGAGAGGAACTAATCCACCAGTGTCTAACTCATGGGATTAACTCTGGTCCCTCATCCATGGATAGCTCATCCATACAGCAGTTAATCCTTATGGGAGCATCACAGGAAACTAATATATAAACTTTATCCTGAGAATGTCGGGAAAGTTTATCCAGGATGGATAATCCCGCAGATCATTGGTTCATAACCCAAGGATCAATACACTTAACAATCCAAGGATCAATACACTTATTAATCCAAGGATCAATACACTTAACAACCCAAGGATCAATACACTTAACAACCCAAGGATCAATACACTTAACAACCCAAGGATCAATACACTTAACAACCCAAGGATCAATACACTTAACAACCCAAGGATCAATACACTTAACAACCCAAGGATCAATACACTTAACAACCCAAGGATCAATACACTTAACAACCCAAGGATCAATACACTTATTAATCCAAGGATCAATACACTTAACAACCCAAGGATCAATATACCTAACAACCCAAGGATCAATACACTTAACAACCCAAGGATCAATATACCTAACAACCCAAGGATCAATACACTTAACAACCCAAGGATCAATATACCTAACAACCCAAGGATCAATACACTTAACAATCCAAGGATCAATACACTTATTAATCCAAGGATCAATACACTTAACAACCCAAGGATCAATACACTTAACAACCCAAGGATCAATACACTTAACAACCCAAGGATCAATACACTTAACAACCCAAGGATCAATACACTTAACAACCCAAGGATCAATACACTTAACAACCCAAGGATCAATACACTCAACAACCCAAGGATCAATACACTTATTAATCCAAGGATCAATACACTTAACAACCCAAGGATCAATATACCTAACAACCCAAGGATCAATACACTTAACAACCCAAGGATCAATATACCTAACAACCCAAGGATCAATACACTTAACAACCCAAGGATCAATATACCTAACAACCCAAGGATTAATACACTTAACAACCCAAGGATCAATATACCTAACAACCCAAGGATCAATACACTTAACAACCCAAGGATCAATACACTTAACAACCCAAGGATCAATACACTTAACAACCCAAGGATCAATACACTTAACAACCCAAGGATCAATACACTTAACAACCCAAGGATCAATACACTTAACAACCCAAGGATCAATACACTTAACCCAAGGATCAATACACTTAACAACCCAAGGATCAATACACTTAACCCAAGGATCAATACACTTAACAACCCAGGGAACAATACACTTAACACAAGTAGCCTGATATTAGGAACATAATGACTAACTTACGGAACAAAATACAATGCGCTAAATGGCAGAGTGGATTATTGCAGGAATAAAACTATGGTTTTCTACAGTATTGCCCTGGGGGACTGTGTCAAAGGCTTTCCGACAGTTCAAGAAAATGCAGTCCGCCCAGCCCTCTCTTTCCTGCTTATCTTTGTTACCTGATCGTAGAATTCTATCAAGCCTGTAAGGCAAGATTTACCCTCCCTGAACCCATGTTGGCGATTTGTCACGAAGTCCCTTCTCTCCAGATGTGTTACTAGTTTTTTTCTCACGATCTTCTCCATCACCTTGCATTGTATACAAGTTAAGGACACTGGCCTGTAGTTCAGTGCCTCTTGTCTGTCACCCTTTTTGTATATTGGGACTACATTCGCCGTCTTCCATATTTCTGGTAGGTCCCCCGTTTCCAGTGACCTACTATACACTATAGAGAGTGGCAAGCAAAGTGCTCCTGCACACTCTTTCAGTACCCATGGTGAGAACCAGTCTGGACCAACAGCCTTTCTCACGTCCAGATCCAGCAGGTGTCTCTTGACCGCATCACTTGTAGTTTCGAATCCTTCCACGACCACCTGGTTTATTGTCCCCTCTCCTAGCGGTGACCTCACCTTGTTCTATTGTAAAGACCTCCTGGAACTTCTTGTCGAGTTCTTCACACACCTCTTTGTCATTCTTTGTGTACCTGTCCTCGCCTGTTCTAAGTTTCATCACCTGTTCCTTCACTGTTGTTTTCCTCCTGATGTGTGTGTGTGTGTGTGTGTGTGTGTGTGTGTGTGTGTGTGTGTGTGTGTGTGTGTGTGTGTGCGTGCGTGTGTGTGTAAATCTAATAAAGAATAAAATACTCGAAATCTATTTGATCTTTAAAACTGCTTAATATATAGCTGAACCCTCCCTCTCTCTCTTTCTCTCTCTCTCTCTCTACTTTTCCTACCCTCGTCTCCTCCCTCCTAGCCTCCCTCCCTCCCTCCTCCACCTGCCAAAACGCTATAGTCAATTTAAAAAAAACTTACAAATAAAACACGGGCACTTAAAAAAGTGTAATGTCATCTAGTAAGAGATTCTTCTCACGTGGGAGACTTTATCATCAAAGTTTCCTCAAAGTTGTTGACCAAATCCTGCGCTAATACACTCAATTTATCACCCCATGTCCTCCCCACCCAACTAATTGACCATACGCATTAATATTACTACTTATATATATATATATATATATATATATATATATATATATATGTCGTACCTAGTAGCCAGAACTCACTTCTCAGCCTACTATGCAAGGCCCGATTTGCCTAATAAGCCAAGTTTTCCTGAATTAATATATTTTCTCTAATTTTTTTCTTATGAAATGATAAAGCTACCCATTTCATTATATATGAGGTCAGTTTTTTTTATTGGAGATAAAATTAAAGTAGATATATGACCGAACCTAACTAACCCTACCTAACCTAACCTAACCTATCTTTAGAGGTTAGGTTAGGTTAGGTAGCCGAAAAAGTTAGGTTAGGTTAGGTTAGGTAGGTTAGGTAGTCGAAAAACAATTAATTCATGAAAACTTGGCTTATTAGGCAAATCGGGCCTTGCATAGTAGGCTGAGAAGTGCGTTCTGGCTACTAGGTACGACATATATATATATATATATATATATATATATATATATATATATATATATATATATATATATATATATATATATATATATATATATAAAGAGAGAGAGACAGAGACAGAGAGACAGAGAGAGACAGAGACAGAGACAGAGAGAGAGAGAGAGAGAGACAGAGACAGAGACAGAGAGACCTTCACTACCCCACAGACTCGCTACCCCTGCGGCGGTGTATTGAAAAAAGTATTAAGACATAGGATGAGGGGGACAGAGGGCTGTCTGGTGTAGGCCAGACCTGGTAAGATAGGAGACGGGTTGGTGTTGTAAGTTGGGTAAAGTGTTGTGGTTCGAGTCCTAGAGGTCGTGGTAGGTACACAGAGGCATGAGGAGGCTGGCTAGATAACATGGTCCTAACACCACACACAAGTGTCTGACACTCGTGTGTAAGAGACCACTCTATATATTGGACAAGTCTGTCAGACCACCTGAGTGACGGACCAGTCAAGGGTAACCCTAGGCCTGGCTCCTGGTAACTGGTGACGTAAGGACTGGTAACAGGAGGACTGGTAACAGGAGGACTGGTAACAGGAGGACTGGTAACAGAAGGGCAGGAATCATTGAGAACTCTCTCGCTTTAAACAGCGGGATCTACCTATCTTCCCCCAACATGTGCAATGAAAGGGAACCACACACAAGTTACAGTGATGGACCACCACACTACAGCACCACACACAAGTTACAGTGATGGACCACCACACACAAGTTACAGTGATGGACCACCACACACAAGTTACAGTGATGGACCACCACACTACAGCACCACACACAAGTTACAGTGACGGACCACCACACACAAGTTACAGTGATGGACCACCACACACAAGTTACAGTGATGGACCACCACACACAAGTTACAGTGATGGACCACCACACACAAGTTACAGTGATGGTCCACCACACTACACCACCACACACAAGTTACAGTGATGGACCACCACACACAAGTTACAGTGATGGTCCACCACACTACACCACCACACACAAGTTACAGTGATGGACCACCACACACAAGTTACAGTGATGGTCCACCACACTACACCACCACACACAAGTTACAGTGATGGACCACCACACACAAGTTACAGTGATGGTCCACCACACTACACCACCACACACAAGTTACAGTGATGGACCACCACACTACACCACCTCACACAAGTTACAGTGATGGACCACCACACTACACCACCTCACACAAGTTACAGTGATGGACCACCACACTACAGCACCACACACAAGTTACAGTGATGGACCACCACACTACAGCACCACACACAAGTTACAGTGATGGACCACCACACTACAGCACCACACACAAGTTACAGTGATGGACCACCACACTACAGCACCACACACAAGTTACAGTGATGGACCACCACACACAAGTTACAGTGATGGACCACCACACACAAGTTACAGTGATGGACCACCACACACAAGTTACAGTGATGGTCCACCACACTACACCACCACACACAAGTTACAGTGATGGACCACCTCACACAAGTTACAGTGATGGACCACCACACTACACCACCTCACACAAGTTACAGTGATGGACCACCACACTACACCACCACACACAAGTTACAGTGATGGACCACCACACTACACCACCTCACACAAGTTACAGTGATGGACCACCACACTACACCACCACACACAAGTTACAGTGATGGACCACCACACTACACCACCACACACAAGTTACAGTGATGGACCACCACACTACACCACCACACACAAGTTACAGTGATGGACCACCACACTACACCACCACACACAAGTTACAGTGATGGACCACCACACTACACCACCACACACAAGTTACAGTGATGGACCACCACACTACAGCACCACACACAAGTTACAGTGGTGGACCACCACACTACACCACCACACACAAGTTACAGTGATGGACCACCACACTACAGCACCACACACAAGTTACAGTGATGGACCACCACACTACACCACCACACACAAGTTACAGTGATGGACCACCACACTACACCACCACACACAAGTTACAGTGATGGACCACCACACTACAGCACCACACACAAGTTACAGTGATGGACCACCACACTACACCACCACACACAAGTTACAGTGATGGACCACAACACTACACCACTACACACCAGTTACAGTGATGGACCACCACACTACACCACCTCACACAAGTTACAGTGATGGACCACCACACTACAGCACCACACACAAGTTACAGTGATGGACCACCACACTACACCACCTCACACAAGTTACAGTGATGGACCACCACACTACAGCACCACACACAAGCTACAGTGATGGTCCACCACACTACAGCACCACACACAAGTTACAGTGATGGTCCACCACACTACACCACCACACACAAGTTACAGTGATGGACCACCACACACAAGTTACAGTGATGGACCACCACACTACACCACCACACACAAGTTACAGTGATGGACCACCACACTACACCACCTCACACAAGTTACAGTGATGGACCACCACACTACAGCACCACACACAAGTTACAGTGATGGACCACCACACTACACCACCTCACACAAGTTACAGTGATGGACCACCACACTACAGCACCACACACAAGTTACAGTGATGGACCACCACACTACAGCACCACACACAAGTTACAGTGGTGGTCCACCACACTACAGCACCACACACAAGTTACAGTGATGGACCACCACACTACAGCACCACACACAAGTTACAGTGATGGACCACCACACTACAGCACCACACACAAGTTACAGTGATGGACCACCACACTACACCACCACACACAAGTTACAGTGATGGACCACCACACTACAGCACCACACACAAGTTACAGTGATGGACCACCACACTACAGCACCACACACAAGTTACAGTGGTGGTCCACCACACTACAGCACCACACACAAGTTACAGTGATGGACCACCACACTACAGCACCACACACAAGTTACAGTGATGGACCACCACACTACAGCACCACACACAAGTTACAGTGGTGGACCACCACACTACACCACCACACACAAGTTACAGTGATAGACCACCACACTACAGCACCACACACAAGTTACAGTGATGGACCACCACACTACACCACCACACACAAGTTACAGTGATGGACCACCACACTACACCACCACACACAAGTTACAGTGATGGACCACCACACTACAGCACCACACACAAGTTACAGTGATGGACCACCACACTACACCACCACACACAAGTTACAGTGATGGACCACCACACTACACCACCACACACCAGTTACAGTGATGGACCACCACACTACACCACC